TGGGCCTCCCCGCTCCTGCAGCAGCTTCGGGGCTTTGAGGGCTCAGCAGACCCCCCCCTCCCCACATCTGGCACGGGGTGGGGGCAGCAGGGATTGCCCCTTGCTGGCAGAAGCAGTGAGTCTGGGGGGGTTTTCATTTTTTTCTTAAAGGGCCAGAGGTGGCCTGGGCGCAGCACGGGGCAGTGGAGGCAGTGGGGATCACCCCAGGCCTGGCAGCACCTAGTGAGCACCCTGGCTTTTTTTTTAACAAGTGCGGGAGCTGGGGTGGGGGAGGCAGCTGTTGCCGGGCTGGGACAGGGGCAGGGGATGGACCTGGCCTCGCTGATTTGGAGATTCAGCAGCAGCCAAATCTCCAAATCAGGTTCCACCAAATCGAATCAGGACAGTGATTCAAATCATCAAATCGAATCACTGTCCCCCAGATTGGCTGAATCTGAACCCGAAGCAAAACTAGCCACTTTGCACAGGCCTACTGAACACCATATATAATGAGCTAAAAATGAAGCACTTGTACCAAATGCTTGTTTTCTAAGTTGCTCGGTTTTAAGATTGTGAGGTGACGACAAGAAGGCACAGACGTTTTATAAGCCAACTTAAGACTTGGAATCCATTTAAGCTATTATGACCTTAACTTTTCATCAACACACTGTACAGTTTTAATTTTCCTTATGTCTCTCATGAGGTCTCAGATTTCTGCCTATTATCTTTTAAATCTGACTTGGTTTATGACCTTGAAGATTTAGATATGAACTTTTTCAAGTTTATTAGGAAGCTCTGGCCATGTGGTATTGTTTTTACTTGTTATTACTTGTTGAGCAGCGATAATCTTCTATGCAGTTCTTAGCAGACACTGTATGCAAGATCCTTGTGTAATTTTGCAATGGTATCTTTTACCATGAGCTGTTAGGCCTGTGCAGAAATACGCTGAAATCAATGGGACATGGTGTGCAGAGAAAGGCCTACACTAGCAGTATGCATTGCACGAGCAGTGTCTTAGGTTGTAAATTTTGGGCAAGAAGCTTCCTGTAACCCACTCAACTGAATTGCTCCCATCAGCTTGTCGAGTGCATCGGGATGAGCAATTCAAATGATCCAGGCTGTGAGCCATCACTAATATGCATTTGTTGCTTTACCAACTTTGGTATCACCTTGTCTGACTCTCTCAAAGCAAAATGTTCCTACACTAAAAATGGGTAATAGAATGCCAAGAGACAGTCAATACATCTCAGAAAATGACATTTGTGATTCATTATTAAAGAGCATTATTTGACCTTTCATCTAAGAAGCTCAATGTGCTTTAGAAATATTAGAAAATTAATATTCACAGTACCTCAGGGAGACTGGGTCAGTGTTGTTCTCTTCATTTTTCTCATAATGACTGAGGTTCTCTGGTGAAGTAGGCAGCACTTCAACTTCACATATCATGCCCTGAAATTTGTGCAAGGATTCATCCTTAATGTAACTCTACTGCATTTAGAAGAAGTAAACCAGTGATTTATTTGGACCAATATTCATTCTTAACACAGAATGCACTGGGGTTATTTGAATTGTGTAATTGTAGTGAGGACAAATTCTCTATTATAGCATTAGGATGAAATTAGGAAAGAAAACTCTAGGCTGAAAGCTTTCCTAACTGTGAAATTTTAGGGTATAGAATCACCTCCTCAAGAGAAGTGGCACAAATCCTATCTCTTGGAACTTCTGTTAGTCTGGATAAACCTGCAGAGGATGTCCTTTAGGGAACAATTTTGCTTATGTGTGGAGATAGACTGGATGACCTACCAGATCTCTGCCTGTGTGGTCAAACTTGTATGATTCAGACATTGCGACACTGAGAGACACGCATACTTGTATCTGGCATGATAGTTGGTCAGAATGACTGATTTGAATGTCCTTTCAGTTAAAAAGAAAACTCAGTGACTCACTTTCTCCTCATCCTACACTTTTGTTACTGAGAGGTTCAAGTCAGCTATCTGATATTTTAGATGTTCTGAAAAAAACACATTTAGGTAAACTGACCACAAAAATCCACATAAGGAAGTGGATTATATGAGGCCATAATTGTTAATTTGATGGTGATTTACAGGCAAACTGAAATGTTCTAAAAATAAATAAATGAAACTTTGAACAAGATCTCAAATCTTCAACCACAATCATGTTTAGAATTCACCTAATATGTTTGAACATCATGTCCCATTTTTATATACCTGCTGAAATCTGAATTTTGGATTCTTTTGTTTCCCTCGCTGGCTAGAGCTCATGCCCCCATGGAATCCAGGTACAGACATTACACTTTTACCAGTATAAGTGATAGGAAACTGGTCTAAACCTATAACAGAACAGAAGTTTGGCATACCTAGACTGGTTGAAAAATTGCAAAACCCAGTCTAAGACAGGCAGCCTGCATGCTCCCTCATCTCCCTCCCCCCCATCACCCCCAAAGGGTAAATGTGTGTTCACTACCAATCTAAAATACACTGCCTACAGAAAATCATGTAACTTAAATTGATTCCACCTTGGGTTTTTTGAATGTCTGTACCTAGCCCTAAAGCTTAGAAAGATGAGAGGAAGCAACACTGCTTGCACAACGTTAAGTATTAGCACTCTCAGTAATTGCTGCAAGAAAAAAGACAATAGGACTCTGTACTTAGGTCTTAGCAGGCAGAAATGTTTCAGTTCACCTGCTGCAAGGTAAATAGTTACCCTCCTCTTCAGAGCCCCCCCATTATTTTTCATGAGCTACTAATCAGCTCTCCAATTCAGGCCACTTAAGTTAATGAACGTGAATAATGTACAATATAGCAATTGCCTCTGCCTTTGTGCTTATTAATACACATAAGAGTAGAGTCCGCTTTACTGAACACCTGTCCTTGGAATAACCTATGCAAACGAACTGCTATATCATTGCTTCTCAGAAGTAACACCCACAGTTGTTTCTTGCTATTCCTTGTTGCTGACTGACATGGGATCATGTGATCTTAGCACTGACAAAACATGCTGCACTGAATGCTTTAGAAAATTAAATCACTGTGCATGTTAGCTACATCTGAATTAAGCTCGCCATGGCTTTGGGTGAGGAGGCTAGAGACAGTTCTAGCTTGACCAGGGATTCTGGTTTTCTCTGATTTAAAAAAAATCCCCAATTTTCAGATTAAAAAAACCCCTCCAAATCCATATTTTTTTAGTTATTAAAATGAAACACCACTAATATATAGATATATCTATAGTGGTGTTTCATTTTAATCACAGGAAAACATGGATTTGGGGTTACTTTTTAAAATCTGATAATTGGGGATTTTTAAATCAGAGAAAACTGGTATCCCTGCTCATGACCCTGTCTGTCTGTTTGTCCTTCTGCCTGTCTGTCTGTATATCTACATGTTGTTTTGGCTTGCATCACTGTAATATGGGAGGGCTTCATTAATGTTACTGTATCTATTCTTACAGGCACCCTGTGAGGTAGGTCACTATCAACATAGTTTTAGGTATGGTGAACTATGATACAGAGGGCAGAATTCAGTGCAGTGGCCCACACACGTGAGACTGATGCAATGTAATGGCTGTCAGCTGATTGTCTCCACAGGAGTCAGGTTCAGTCACCCTGAGATATTCCTTTGACTTACTCAAGGTCACACACACAGACTAGACCTGTATATAGACACCAGCTCTCAGTCTGAAATCCCAAGAACACCTTTCAAGAAAGCTGATGTTAAATTCCCAGCACTCTTGACCTTTTCCAAGAGGCTGAAAAGAAGTGATTGAATCATGTAACTTACTTCTAACATATGGTCCACATAGCTGCCAATTATTAAGTGAGATCCTCAAGGGTCATTTTTGCAGTTGTGAGAGTGAGAAGTGAACAAGCTTTTTCCGATTTGGTCTGTCCCTTTCCCTGCTCCCTCTCCCCACTTGTCTGATGATAGCAATATAGTGTTGGTGGGCACAAGCCTGACACTGATGCTACTGCGCAGTAGGGTTGTAAATGACACGTGCTGCCGGGACTGTGCAGTAACAGCCGTTACTCACAGTCATTTAGTACTCGCTAAAGCAAGTACTACTACTAGCTTACTTCTAATATATGGTCCACATAGCTGCCAATTATGAAGTGAGCTCCTCACTTAATAACTACAATTTTACCAGACATTAAGCTTTTTTACCAGTATAAGTAACAGGAAACTGGTCTAAACCTGTAACAGAACAAAAGTTTGCCATACATATATGGGTTTAAAAATGGCAGAACCCAGTCTAAGATAGGTTGGACTACGTGACCTCCTGAGGTCCCTTCCAACCCTCATTTTCTATGATTCTATAAGTCTATAGGCTGCCTGCATGTCCCCCTCTGATCCCCCCAAAGGGTGAATGTGTGTTCACTACTGATGTGACGCAGCGAGTTACTGTGCTGTCAGGGGCACATGTAGATGTGCTCAGTGAATGGTAATATTTACATCTCAGCACCTTCAAATGCTTTGGTGCACCTCTGAGGCAGTCATGTAACTCACCGAAGTCAGCGAGCCAGTTGCAGAACGTGAAATAGAATCCAGGAGTCCTGAGTCTCATCCTGTGCACAAGGTCAGAGATTCCCCAGTTTGTCCCTGTAGCGTTTTCTTTCCCGCCTTTCCATCTCTGAAAGGATCTGTAATCTGCTGTCTGTTTTTGATTGACCCGTGTCTCTTTCTTTCATACCTCTGGGCCTTTTCCCTGTTCTCTATCTACAGTGACCCAGTCTCCCCTTCTTTTCTCCTCCTGTCCTTTCTCCCTGTGATAGTCTTTTTAATCCTTCTGCTCCTGTCTCCCTCCCTCACAGTATGGGATGGAATGTCCTGCTGCTTTGAGCCAAGAAGTAGTAGCGCAGGCCACCTGTTCCATGCCATGTCCTGCCCTGAGTCACAGTAGGGGAGAGAAGTCAGCAGAAGGGACAGTGGAAAGGGATGAAGGGGAGGGGTGAAGAACTAGTGACTGTCAGGTTAGCAGCACTAGCTGTTGGTAGTAAGGAGGAACTGAAGTATAAATCTTGTTCATTGCTTGCAGCCCTGACATTTCAGCTGGTATAACTGAGAGAGTGGCAGCTGCAGTAAATGTGTGACTGTCACTCCAAATGAGTGACACCTAACAAAAAGGACTAAAATGCAATAAATAAATAAATGAAGGGAGGCTGTAAAAGGCAATGAGTATTATGTTATTGTGTTGTTTATACAGCCTCATACATGTGTATGATCCTTGCAAGTAAACCTGTTGTTTCAAAGAACAAAAGTAAAGGCTCCCTGAGTGAAGCCCAGTGTGTCTTTTCTGTAGCAGGCTGAAGCAGCTCTGAGAATAAGTTTCTTCTGTTTCTGCAGCAGTGCTCTTAGGCCCTTAAGAGGTATGCTTCATGGAGAATAAAAATAAACTAATTTAATAGATTCAAACCACAACTGACATTTACAATTGGACAATTCAGGAACAAAGAGCACTTTAGCAAAGGGCCAGCTCCTGTTGATGTCTCTGTTTTTGCCACTGGATTGACTAGTTTACAATGGGCCTTTATTCAGTGGAGGATCAATAGTGTGGGGCAAATGAAAAGGGTCAGGATATTTGCAATCTCAGGGTCTTGATCTGACACCCCATACTCATAAAGGGAGATCCAATGACTTCACTATAGCTATGCCCACATTTAAGGGTTGTTTTTCTGTACCAAGGCTGCATGATCGATTCCTTATGCAATTGCAAACAATAATGTTTTTAGGGCCGGACACTGCTCCTGTTGAAGTAAATGGCAAAACTCCCACTAATTTCAAGGTCCTTTAATCCCTTCAAGGCCTCTCTAATTAGGCTGAATTATTTAGTGTTTGTAAAGCACTTTGGAAGTGTAGTGAGCTATGTAAGTGCAAAAGATTATTATTATTAAACTCATTATTTTATCTTTTATGTTTCTCATAAAGGTGGATATGACTTAACACTAAGCTTGTCAGTGCTTGAACAAATCAAAAAGATTGTTCTGGCTTTTTAAAATAAACCACAATGAAATGATGGTGATGGTGATGATGATCATGATTTACTGAACACTTGCCATTCCTGAGCCAGTACAGGACCTGCACCTGCCCAGACTTACAAAAGGAACTGTACTCATCTAAGTGATTTTCACAGAATCATAGAATCAGAAAATTAGGGTTGGAAGGGACCTCAAAAGGTCGTCTAGTCCAACCCCTTCTGAAAGCCAGACCATCCCCAACTAGATCATCCCAGCCAAGGTTTTGTCTAGCTGCATCTTAAAAACCTCCAAAGAGCTTGTCAGGTCCACAAAGTGCTTTACACTTCCAAAATGCTTTTTTCCATTTGTTAAATGCCCTCCTTTATTGAACCTTCCTTGGAGGTTTTCGAGATGAAGCATAGTCATCTGCCTGAAGTGATTTAGGAAAAAATAATCCTGCATACGTTGGGTATTAGGCTAGATGAGTCTTGTGGTCCTTTCCCATCCAGTAATTTTATGACTCCTGTGGGCATATCTATGCGTGTGTTAAAGTGCTTCAGGTCTCATGTCTACAGGTGCACCATCATTGGGAGCAAATTGTGCCTGACAAGATCAGCCCTGTCCAGGGCTGTTCCTGCCCTGCTCTGCCCCCTTGCAGCAACCAGGGGGAGCTCCTTGGGCTATGAGGGGACATGGGGGCTGGTCCCGATGCCCATGTGGTCGGGAGAGCTCTGCATTTGGCAGAGATGCTGCCTGCCAGGCACACGGGGATCAAGGGGGTCCCAATCCTCACGTGGCCAACAGAGCCATCCCTGCTAAGTGGGAATATTGCCTGCCAGCCACATGAGGATCAGGAGGGTGCCAATCCCCACATGGCTGGGAGACAGTTGCCCCTGCAGCCGGCACTGCTCCCCCCTGCATCAGGGCTTAGCCAGGCAGCAGTGGGCCCCCTGGTGCCTGGGCTTACTGGGAGCAGATTACTCCTGGTCAGTGTCTACATGGGTGCAGTAGCTAAGGAACCATTATTCTAGTACCTGTATTTCCTGGTACTAGCAAATGGCACGTTAGCTTAATTTACTGTTCAGTAAGTCCTGTGCACATGTAGACGCTGATGCTTTACTGCGCTTTAGATTAGTCTAATGTGCAGTAAACCATCTCATGTAGATTCATAGATGTTAGGGTTGGAAGGGACCTCAATAGATCATCGAGTCCGACCCCCTGCATAGGCAGGAAAGAG